CGACGCGCCGCCGGCCCAGCGCCAGGAAGCAGGCGACGGCTCGCCACAGGACCATGGGACTGCTACGATCGCGGTGACATGTCCATCGTAATCGCTGCAAGTTGGGATGTTGAAGTGCTCATTCCGGCCGGGCTGCTCCATCGCGATGGCCTTCTCGAACATGGAGGCGGCCCTGGACGCGCCGCTCCTCAGAGTCGACGACGCCTCGATCTCCGCCTCTTCCGTCTCGACGCAGAAGCGCGACGCCTCCGCCGGCGCCGGCGTCTTCGCGCTGTTGATCGCTTTGACCGTCGGCGACATCGTGCTGGGCGCGATCCTCTTCGACCGCTTCGGCGAGATCTATGCCCAGTACCTGAATTTAGCAACGGCCGCGTGCTACTGCGTCGCGAGCACGGCCGCCGTGCTCTGGCGCCGCGCGCCGCGCCGCGCGCCGGCGCGCCTGCTCGTCGTCATCGGCGTGCTCAACGGCGGCGGCAACTTCTTCCAGGCCGTGGGCCAGCCCCACACGCCGGGCATCACGCAGTCGCTCCTCAGCGCGACGCTGAGCGTGCCCCTCGTCCTGTCGCTCTCGCTGCTGTTCCTCGGGAAGCGGCCGTCGCGGACGGCGGCGGCCGCCGCGGCGCTCGTCGTCGCCGGCGCGGCGTGCAGCGCGTTCCGGTCCCGGCTTTTCGCGTCCCGCGCGCTCATCGACGCCGGCGGCGAGGACGACGGCGGCGCCGGCGGCATCGTCGTCGAGTGGTACGCCGTCGCGCTCTTCGCGTTCGCGCAGTTGATATTCTCCGCGGAGCGCGTCTTCGAGGAGTCGGTCTTCGCGCGGGCGCTCGAGGGCCTCGACGCGACGACCATGTTCTGCTGGACCATGTGGGTCCAATTCGTCCTGTACCTGCCCCTGCTGCCCTCGCAGCAGCTCCCGGCGCTCGGGGGGCTGACGCCGCCGCAGATCCTCCCCGTGGAGCGCGACGGCCTGTGGTGCACGCTCGGCCGCACCGCGGCCACGCCGGCGGGGTTGGATCTCCCGGGGTGCGACCTCGTGAACACGGCGCTGTTCTTCGCGTACGTCGCCGTCGACGGCTGCTGCTACTGCTACGGCCTCTACGTCATCAAGCGGTACGGCGCGTCGGCCATGGTCGTCGCGGGCTCCGTGGCGCTGCCGCTGCAGCAGGTCGTCTTCTGCGCGCCCTTCCTCGTCGGCCGGCGCTACGCCGAGAGCCTCTACGGCGCGGACGTCGCCGCGCTGGTCCTGGTTCTCGCGGGCTTCGTCGGCTTCCACCGCCTCAGCCCGGAGGGCGCGCTGCGCGGGTAAGGCTCTTGTGGATCGTTGCGGGGTAGTGTGGGGGTCGCGGTGGGTTCCGTCGTCCGAGGCGCGATTGCGAACCGGGACAAGAGGAAGGGCAACGTCAAGGGAAACGTTTACAAAAAGACGGTGGTCCCTTTGTGATGGACTGCGCCCAAGCAGGGCCGACGGGAGACGACGCAAACGACCCGATACTTGCCGAGGTTTTTTGGACCGATAAATCGACCGACACTTGCCGTAGATTGGGCGACACCGACCGCCACCGCCACCGATACCAAGCGCCAGCGCGATCATCACCAAGCGACATCAACCGACACCCCCGGCCAGAAAGGCGTCTCGGACCAAAGATCGCATCATTTAAGTTATGGCGCGCAGCGCCTCAACCCGGCGTCGTTTTGGAAGGTCGCCGCGCCGCAATTGCCGGCGACGGCGCTTCTTCTCCGCGGCGTGCTCACGCACTCGACGAACTCCGCGCCTCCCGAGCGCGTGTTTTCCATCCTCAACGACACCTTCGACTCGAGCATGACCCAGTCGCTCAACGACTACATCGAGTTGAGCCTCCAACTGCAGTACAACGAGCGCGGCCGCGGCCGCGGCGCGTAGGCACGACGGTCGATACCAATCGATATTTTTCGATACCGCCACCGACTCCGATCGATACCCCGACCGAGACCGGCCGACACCTCGGCCGAGACCGGCCGAACCGGCCGGAATCGACCGATAAATCGTCGATACTTGCCGTAATTACCCGAGGGGGTTGACCGCCGGTATGCCTGGTAGTATGCGCCCGCTATGCGGGCTTTATGCGGGCTTTATGCGGGTGTTATGCGGGTGGTATGCGGGTGGTATGCGGGTGGTATGCGGGTGGTATGCTGGTGGTATGCGGGTGGTATGCGGGTGGTATGCGTCTGCTATGCCGGTGGTATGCGTCTGCTATGCCGGTGGTATGCGGCTGCTATGCTGGTGGTATGCGCCTGCTATGCTGGTGGTATGCTGGTGGGCTGCTATGCTGGTCTTATGCGCCTGCTATGCTGGTGGTATGCGGCTGCTATGCTGGTCTTATGCGCCTGCTATGCTGGTGGTATGCGCCTGCTATGCGCCTGCTATGCGCCTGCTATGCGCCTGCTATGCGCCCGCTATGCGCCCGCTATGCGCCCGCTATGCGTCTGCTATGCGGCTGCTATGCGGCTGCTATGCTGGTGTATGCCGTGGCTGGTGTATGCCTGGTGGTCGGCCCCCTCTGGTAATTACGGCAATACCTCGACACGACACTTGCCGTGAAACGTATCCACTCCCGTCGGACTTGCTTGACTGCGCCCGACGGGTTTGACGCGTCGCAACCCCGCATGCCGACAATTCCCCGCGCCGAGTCGCAGTCGTCGGCCTCGAGCGACGGTAAGGCCTACGCCATCGTTGACGTACAAGGCCAGGGACGCGGACTCGTCGCCGCGAGGGCACTAACCCGGGGCGACGTTGTTCTGAGGGACCGCGCCGTCGCCGTGGGCCTCGACGAGGTCGAGTTACTGCGCAACTGCGCCGCGGACCCCGCAGCCCGCGCGGTCATCGACGAGCTGTGCTCGCTGTCCTACGACGCGCTCGACGGCGCCGCGCGGCGGCGCCTCGCGGACGCCGTCGACGGCGCGGCCGACCTCGCCGCGTTCTTCGCGCCCCACGACGACGCCGACGAGTTCGACGAGGCCTGGGCGAAGCGCGCGAGCCTGCGGCTCGAGTGCAATGTCTTCACCCTGTGGACCGTTGACTACGAGCGGCGGTCCATGGGTCTCTTTCCCGTCGCGAGGCTGCTGAACCACGCGTGCGCGCCGAACTGCGTCCGCGAGCAGGACGGCGACGACCTGCGATTCACGGCCCTCGCGGACATCCCCGCGGGCGGCGCGCTGACCTTCAGCTACGTCCCCGCGGCCTACGGCCGCGCCGCGCGCCGGCGGCTCCTCCGGGACTACTTCCAGTTCGCCTGCGGCTGCCCGCGCTGCGCGGGCGACCCCGCGGCCGACGAGCGCGCCCGGGGCGCCCTCGCGCACGTCGGCTGCGGCGGGTCCTGGAACGCGGCGGGCCGCTGCGCGATCTGCGGCGCGCCGAAGCCGACCGGGCGTTAAACCGGGGCCTCCTAGTTTGTGGCCCCCGCGTCGACGGCGTCGAGGATGTCGAGCGCCAACGGCCGGGCGCCGCGGTCGCGGTCCTTGAGGAGCAGATCCGTCGACACGGAGAGCACGGACCAGGCGCCCGCGTTGATCTCGCGCTCCAGATCGCCCGGCCGCCACGTCGTCGCCTGCGCGAAGAGGCGGAAGCGGAAGGGGTTCGCCATGCCCTTGCCCGCGAGCATGGTCGCGCTGGACCAGGCGCCGCCGACGAAGAGGCCGTCGTCGTTGAGGGGCTCCGCGCCGACGACGGTGCGGTAGGGATGCACGGCGACGATGCCCGTGGTCGTCGCCTCGTCGCCGGCCGCGCCGACCGTGCGCCGCCCGTCGGCCTCGTCGCGGTGCGGCCCGCCGATCCAGAGCGGCTGGAGCCGGAAGTTCTCCACGGAGAGCTCCGAGAAGTCGCCCATCATGTAGCCGCTGCGCCGGCCCATCAATACGCCCGTAAAGCCCGACCGCTTCGACGCGTCGAGGAGGAGCACGACGGGCGCCAGCGCCGCCTGGCGCTCGGGCGGGATGCGGTCCGCCGCGTCCTCGGGGAGGCCCACGCGGGCCAGCGACGCTTTGGCCTCGCGCCCGGGGTCGTCGGCGAAGAAGTAGCTCTCGCTGCCCACGAGGACGACGCCCGCCGCGGGCTTGGCCGCCGCGCGCGCCCACTCCGACGGGCCCTCGTCGCCCTCGGGCGCCGCGGCGACGGACGCGACGGCGTCGAGGCCGCCGCTCACGAGCCGCGCGCGGAAGGCGGCGATGCGAGCGGCCTCCGCTTCGTCATCTATGCTCTCGTCGTCCCCGGCGCGCAGGGGTCGCGCGCGTCGCAGCGATCGTCGCGGCGTGGCCTGGAAGGCGACGCAGGACAGCGCGCAGAGCGCGAAGGCGCAGAGGCGCGCCATGGGCGCTCCTGAGGTGGCGCTTCGAGGGTGAACCATCGGAGAGAGCGTGTCGCACAGCCGCTCCAACACCGCCGTCGACGCCGCCTTCGCCGCGTCGCGACGCGCCGCAGCGCTCTCCGCCGCGCCCGCGCCCGCCACCGAGGCCCGCGCCGCCGCCGAGGCCCCGCCGCGCCCGCGCCCGCGCGCCACCGAGGCCCGCGCCCGCGCCCGCGCCGCCACCGAGGCCCGCGCCCGCCACAGAGGCCCGCGCCCACCGCCGCGCCCCGCGCCCGCGCGCCAACCCGCGCCCCCGAGACCGACAAGAAGCCGCCAAAAAACCTCGACCATGGGTGGTGATGGGGGCTGCATCGCGACGCAGCGGGAATTCATGCGGGGCACCTACGGGTCGTCGCACAAGGCCAAGGGCTGGGCCGGGGGCCAGAACCACGGCGCCGGCTGCACGGGCGGCGACGAGGAGAAGGGCGACTTCCGCGTGCGGCGGAAGGCCATCCAGGTCCGGTCCTGCGCGCTCACGTCGCAGACGCTCGCGGCGCCCGTCGTCGCCGACGAGCTCGGGAACCTGTTCAACAAGCTGCCGCTCTTGGAGGCGCTGTCGGCGAAGGCCGTCCCGGAGCGGTTCTCCTACGTGCGGGGTTTGCGGGACCTCGTCGACTGCAAGTTCGCGCCCGTGACGGAGTCGGCGTACCTCAACGGGGAGGGCGCCGCGCTCTGCGCCTGCCCGGTGGGCGGCGAGCCCCTGGACGGGTCGAAGCCCTTCGTCGTCAGCCGCACGTCGGGGTGGATCTTAGGGGAGAAGTGCGTCACCGAGATGGGCGTGGCCGCGCTCCAGGCCGAGTACGGGCCCTTCACGGCGGCGGACCTCGTCCGCGTCTGCCCCGCCGACGATGAGCTCAAGAGCCTCGCGGACGCCATGCTCGCGCGGCGCGCCGAGGAGAAGCGGCGCAAGAAGGACGACAAGAAGCGGAAGCGCGCGGAGCGGGCCGCGGCCGGCGGCGACGCCGGCGACGGCGACGGCCGCGCCGCCGCGAAGCCCAGGGCGCCGGCGCCGAAGCCGCCGCCGAAGAAGCAGGCGTCCATCGGCATGTCCGCCGCGGCGGACGTCGCCAAGCAGGCGCGCGAGCGGACGACGCAGGACCACGCGTCCGCGGCGCTCCAGGGCCTCTTCCACGACGAGTCCAAGACGACGGCGCCCAAGGACCTCTTCATCGCCACGGCCGCGCGGCGCTATAACCTGAACTGAAGCGCAAACTGGGCGTGTTAGAACGGACGCGGAGCGGCTAGTCCGAGTCCTCCGCGAGGCGCCGCGTGTAGGCCGCGTTCGCGTCTACGGTGTACCAGTCGAAGGTCGCCTGGACGGCGTCCGCCAGCGGCGTCGGACACCAGGCCGGCAGGGCCTCGAGCGCGCGCGCCACGCTGATGGGCCCGACGTCGACGGAGAGCAGCTCCGCGCGGCGGCCGGGGTCGAGCTTCGGCGGCCGGTCGAGGCCCCGCGCCTCGGCGATGAGCTCGACGAGCTCCGCGAAAGACGGCGTCTCCGCGCAGGCCACGTGCAGGACCGGCGGTTTCGTTTCGCCCCTGATCAGCAGCATGATCGCCAAGGCGACGTCCGGCGCGAACGCGATGGACGCGCGATGCGCCGCGCCGTCGCGGACGCCGCCGACGCGGCAGCCGACGGACGCGCGCGACACCTTGTTGGCGAGGTCCAAAAAGCCGCCGAGGTTGTCGCGCGGGCCGATGACGTCCGGGAGCCGGAGCGCCGTGCACTCGAGCCCTCGCGTCGCCCAGTTCGCGAGCTCCTCCTCGCCCGCGAGCTTGCCCGAGCCGTAGCGGTACTGGTACCCGTCGCGCTTCTTGCACGCGGCGATGCCCGCGCGGCTCGTCTCGCGGACCGCGTCGGATTCGTCGAGGCCGCGGCCCGCGGCGCGCGCGGCGTCGATGCGGTGTCGCTCGCAGGCCATGTAGACCGAGTCCGACGAGATGTAGACGTAATACGGCGACGGGTCCCACCGCGACTCGAGCGCGGCAGCCGCGACGTCGGCCACGTCGTCGGCGGAAAACGCGACGAAGTCGACGATGGCCTCCCAACATCCCTCCTGAACGACCTTCATCAGCAAGTTGGGTTGGGCGAAGCGGTCGAGCCGGATGTGCGTGACGTCATCGCCGAAGGGCGACGGCGTCACGCCGCGATTCAAGACGGTTACGGCGTAGCCCTTCTTGCAAAGCAACTCGACGGTGTGCACGCCCATGAATTGCGTGCCGCCGATGACGAGCACCTTGGGCACCTCCTCATCCCTCCTGGTCGCAAGCAGCGCATCTATGGCCGCTTCCTTTGCATCCCGGCGGTCATCATGGAGGGGTCCGAATCGACTGGCAGGTTTTTTTGTCCTACGAAGCATGTACCGGTGCAGCTCGTGTTCGAGATGTCGTCCTTCGCGCGCGAGCTGTGGAGCTCCGGTGCACTGCGAGCGCCAGTTGCTCGAGCCCAAGCTTGAGTGCGGTTCAAACGGTCAAGTTGCACTACAACTTGTGACCTTACCAGTAGGGCGACGGCTCGGGCGTCGCCCGGTGCCCGACCTCGCCGTCGCCGAAGAGGGCCGCGTAGAGCGCGTCCATGGCGAGGGTCCCGCCCGGCGCGAGGGCCGCCAAATCCGCGGCCGTGACGTCGACGAGCGCCTTCCGCCCGAGCTCCGCGGCCAGCAAATCGACGGGCACGGCCCTGCCGTGGCCCGCGCGGCCGAGCGCGTGGAACACGTCCGCGAGCACGGACACGGGCACGGCGACGAAGTCGTCCCGGAGCGCGTCCAGCGACTTCGGCGGCCGCCGCTGTTCGCGGTAGTACGCGTGCTCGCTGTCGCCAAAGTCCATGCCCCCGCAGATCGCGTGCGCGAACTCGGGCAAAGAAACCGCCCCATCGTGGTCGATGTCCATCTCGGCCATGACCTCGTCGTAGGCGCCCTGGGAGAAGTCGACGCCGGCGATCGAGAGGCCCTTCCGGAGCTCGTCCCGCTGGATGACGCCGTCGCCCGACGCGTCGAAGCGCCGGAAGATGGACCGCAAAAGGCCGAGCGACGCGCCCGCGCCCGCGCCGTGGCAGGCGACGTTGATCGCCTTCCGTAGTTTCTCGACGGCCGAGCCGCCGGGTTCGCTCTTCCGGCTCGGCGGCGCCGCCGGCGCGTCGACGAGCGCCGAGGGCACGACGATGTCGTAGCCGACCTGCTGCCACTCGGCGATGGCGCCGCCGTCGCGGCGCCGCCGGTCGCGCTCCACGGGGGACGTCTCGCCCGCGGGCGCGGCCGACGTGTCCGCGACGAGGGGCGCGCAGTCCTCGCGGTCGTCGGCGATGGCCCGTGCCAATTCCAGCAGCGTCACGCGGCCGTCGTGGTCCCGGTCCAGCGCGGCCCAAAAGTCCTCGAAGCGCGTCACGTCCCGGTTCCGGCCTTCGAGGGCTAATCTTAGCTCGTCGCGGCTCAGGCTGCCGTCGCCGTTGGCGTCGAAGCGCTTGAAGATCTGGCGCAGCAAACCCATGGACGCGCCGGCGCCGCCGCCGAAGCACTCCATCTTGAAGCGGTGGATCGCCGTCTTCTCGTCGCTCGGCGGCCGTCGGTTGACCGCGTCGCGGTAGCGCTCGCCGCTCGGGTTCACGAGGTCGTAGCCGACCTGCTGCCACTTGGCGATGCCGTCGACGGCCTTGCGCACGCGCCGCGCCTCGACCGCCGCGGACTCGCGCTGCATCGGCTCGACGGCGCGCGGCGGCTTCAGGCGCAAACGGTCCCGCGCGTCCTCGGCGCTCTCGAGGGGCGACGGGTTCGTCCCGTAGGGCGCGGGGATGCTCCGCACGCCGCGCCGGTTCTGCGGGCTCTGGCTCAGGTCCTGGAGCCGCCGCTCGGCCTCGGCGAAGTGGCGCCGCCGGCAGGGCTTCGGCGGGCCCGCGAGGGGGATGGGCTCGTCGACGATCTGCTGGCCGAGGCGCGCCATGCTCAGGCGCCGCCCGCCGACGGTCGGGCCCACGAAGGGGTCCGACGAGCTGTGCCCCAAACAATACTTCTGCATCGGCGCCGGTTAGGGAAGCAGCCCCATGTCGTAAATCGGCGCTCCGCGGGGCGATACTGCTGCGGCTCTTGTACTCAAACAACAACTTTTCGGGTTTCGCAACTTTTGCTCAGCATGTGTCGGGAGGGCAGCCTTCCCAAACACAACAATGCTCCTCCGCCTCCTCCCGCTCGTCGCTATGGCACTCGGCGCGCCCCTGGCCCTGAACGCGTCGCAGACGCCGTCGCTCTTCATCCCGGGCATCGACAAGGGCGGCACGTCCGAGGCCTACCTCGCCCTCCTCGACGCGGCGCCCTTCGTCGAGGGCGCGACGAAGGAGCCGGGCTGCCTCTACCAGCGCGACGTCGCCGGCTGCTACCGGCGGTCCTTCCCCGAAAGCGGTGCCAGCGTCGACGCGACCCCGAACTACGCGTGGGCGTACCTCGTCGACGCCGCGGCCGCCGCGCGCGCCGCGGCGCCCAAGGCCGTGTCCATCTTCTTCCTGCGCCGCCCCGCGAAGCGCATCCGGTCCCTGCACAACTACTGGAAGGCCGACCAGCGCATCGGCGCGCGCCTCGGCGCCGCGGTGGACGCGCACGTGCGCGTCTGTGTGGAATTCAACCACTGGTTTGGGTGGTCCTGACCAAACTTCAGAATTCTCTTTCTCGGTCAAATCGAAGTCGATTCGGCTGATTTTTGGACGAATCGATTGCTCTCGTCGAGTTCTCGAAGCACAGCCGAAGCGCTTGTGTCAAAACGGTCGCGTACGCTCACATTGAAGTCGAGTTGAAGATTTGAATTCCACACAGGTGCGCGTCGAGCTCGACTATTTGAAAACGCCCGCGGCGGCGCGGCTCCTGGCGGCGCTCCTCGGGCCCGCGCCGACGCACGCGGCCTACGCGGCCCTCTGCCGGGGCCTCGGGCCCTGGATCGCGGCCGAGCGGCCCGCGTCGTGCGCGGCCGTCACGGGGCCCGGCTCGGTGGACCGCGGCGGCGGCACGTCCCCTTCCTGCCCCGTGCACGTCCCCTTCCTGGCGACGACGCTCTACTACGCGCTCCTCAAAAACTGGCTCGCGCACTACGACGCCGACGACGTCGCGGTGCTGGAGAGCGAGTCCTACTGGCGCGACCCGGAGCTGCTACTCCGGCTCTTCCCGGGCCGCGCGGGCCGGCGCCGGCTCCACGCGAACGAGGCGGCCTACCGGACGCCGCCCCTGTCGCCGGCGCTCGAGGCCGAGCTCGAGGCCTTCTTCGAGGCGCCGAACGCGGCGCTCCGGGGCCTGCTGGCCGCCTGGCCGTCGGAGCACGCGCGCGTCGCGCCGGACCCCAACGCGCCGGGGACGTGGTGGCGCGAGGTGCCCCACCGCGGGGTCATTAAGCCCTAGAAACATCCTTACGCGTCCGCCGCGCGTTTTAGGATGGTCACGGTGCCCTGGGCGCCGTCAACCTCGACGACGTCGCCCGTCGCGAGCACGTCCGTCGCGTGCGCGCAGCCGCAGACCGCGGGGATCGCCGCCTCGCGCGCGCAGATGGCCGCGTGGCTCAGCGCGCCGCCCGTGTTCGTGACGACGGCGCCGCAGCGGTTCAGGTAGGCGTTGAACGACGAGTTCGTGAAGTTGAGCACGGCGACCTCGCCCCGCCGCAGCTCGGGGAACGTGGCCTCGTCCACCACCCGCACCCGCGCCCGCAGCGCGCCCTCGGCGCCGGAAGACGCGGGCATGCCCCGGAGCACGGCCGCGCCCGGCGCCAGGTTCCCCGCCGCGAACTCGTCCTCGCAGTCCGAGCCCATGAGCGCGACGTTGATGACCGCGAGGAACGCGTCCGTGAGCTCGCCGCAGCCGCCCTTGGGGAACCATTTCCCGAGCTGGGGCGGCGGGTGGCGCGGCCCGTTGATGACCGCGGGGCTGTCGAGCATCTGGTTGAAGGCCCGGGCGCGGTCCGCGCGGCCCTTGCAGCGGTGCTCCCAGTGGAGGAGCTTCTCCGGCCGCGACCGCGGCCGACTCCGGTGCCTCAGCAGCTCGCCGGCCTCGGCGGCCGAGAGCCACGCGCCGCGCGCCGCGTCGACGAAGCGCCGCGCGCCGACCTCGAGGAGCGCGCGCCGGCCGACGCCGTTGAGCCAGGCGTCGTTGAACAGGGCCCGCTCGTCGCGGACGCGGTAGGCCTCGCGGCAGTCGGCGAGGAGCTCGCCGACGAGTTTGCGATGCTCCGGCTTCGCGCGCGCCGCCACGGCCGCGTCCGCGGCCGCCGTCGCCGCCGCCGTCGCGACTTCCGGCGGGGGCGTCGTCGCGGCCGCGTGAAATAAATCGAAGAGCGCCGCGGGCGACTCGCGGAGCGCCGGCGCCGCGACGTCGTAGGCGCCGACGACGCGGTCGCTCACCGCGGCGAGGTAGTCCGCCGCGGCCTCTCGCACGGGCGACGCCGCGTCGACGACCTCGCCGAGGTAGATCGCCGCGGCGCTGTCGCTCTTCGACCGCACGACCTTGCGGGCCCAGCCGAGGGCCTTGAGCGCCTCGGGGCAGGCGGAAAAGGCCTCGTAGAGCGGGCGATCGGGCGAGTGGTCCCAGAAGTCGCGCCTGTTGCTCCCGGCCGCCGCGACGTCCGCGAGCAAGGCGCGCCGGCCCGCGGCGTCGCCGGGGTCGCACCGGGCGAAGACGGCGGCCGTCGTGAGGAGGCAGGGCGCCGTGTAGCGCTGGTGGCTCGCCCAGGCCTTTGCCATCTCGACCGCGGCGGTTTCGACGTGGTCCGCGAGGTCGCCGTCGCCGAGCTGTTTCGGGTCGACGGCGCCGAGCGCCCGCGCGGCGGCCTCGCGCGCGGCGCGCTCGGTGTCCTTCCACGCGCGGATGTCGGCCATCCAGCCCCGACATTTCAGCGTCCGCCGCGCGACGCGGTCGTTTCTCCGGAGCGCGGGGTGCAGCCGCGAGAGCGCCGCGAGCACGGGGCCCGGCGGCGGCGGGCCGACGGGCGGCGGGTCCGGCGCGCCGAGGGGCACGGGCTGGAGGTAGGGAATGCCGTTGACGAGGTCGCAGCGCAGCTTCGCGAGGCCCAGGCCGTACTTGGTCTGCGCGCGCGTGACCTCGTCCGCCAAAACGTCTCCGAAGAAGTCGTTCATGGGCGGCACGGGCCGCGTCGCGTGGGCGTCGCGCTCCCAGGTGCCGTCGTTGGCGCCGCGCCAGGGCCCGACGCTCGCCGGGCCGTCCATCGTCGCCGTCACCGCGCGCGCCTGGAGGAGCCAGAGCTTCCGGCCGCCGAAACGTTTCGAGGCCTCGACGGCGAACTCGACGTCCGCGCCGCGGCCGAGCGCGTCGGCGATCTGGGCGCCGGCGCCGCAGAGCAGGGCGAGGTCGCGCCGCGGGAGGACGCGGTCGCGCTGGGACGCCTCCGGCACGTCCACGGTCTCGACGCCGCCGCCCGGTAAAGCGACGATCATCTGCTCCTTCCGCGCGACGCGCTCCCGGAGGAACCGCGGCTTGCCGGCGTCGAGCGTGTCGACCCAGTAGGAGTCGGGCGTCACGAGGCCAGACACGAGGCCCTCGCCCTGGCCGAAGACGGCCTCGACGACGGCCTCGGCCTCGCAGCCGTTCCGCGGATTCACCGTAAATAAAACCCCCGCGGCGTCGGAGCGCACCTGGCGCTGGAGCACGACGGCCATGGCGACGGCCTTGAGGAACTTGGGGAGCCGCGCCGCGCCGCCGGCGTAGGCCAGGACGCCCGCGGCCAGCGTCGACGCCCAGACTTTTCGGACGCCGTCCTCGCAGGCCGCCGCGGACGCGCAGTTCAGCACCGTCTCGAACTGGCCCGCGTAGGACGCGTCGAGGGCGTCCTCGCAGGACGCCGACGACCGGCAGGCGACGCCGCGCGACCCGTGGCGCGCCGCGAAGGCCGCGATTTCCCTTCGCAGCCCGTCGGGCAGGTCGCACCGCTCGACGGCCGCGCGCGCGCGCGCGAGCGCCGCCTCGCTTTCCGCCGGATCGTCGGCGGCGGCGGCGGTTCGCAGGAGCGCCGCGATGGCCGGCGACGCGACGACGGCCCGGTAGCAGCGCGCGGGCACGACGATGGCGTCGGGCACGCCGAGGCGCCGGTTGCCGGCGCCGAAGGATTTGAAGAGGAGGTTGAGCTGCGCGCCCTTGCCGCCGAGCTCGCCGTCGCCGCCGGCGCACGGCAGCGCGTAGCAGACCGAGGCCGGCGCGGGCGCGACGCGGCCCAGGCCGAGGCGGCCTTTGCCCATGCTGCCCGACCAACGCGGCACGATCGTTTGCGACAACGTCGGCCTGGGGCTGCCTCATCACGATGGCTCTCCGCGCTTTGGAGGCCTTCCACCGCCTCGACGAGCTCATCTCGCGGCCCATCCAAAAGTTCCAGCTGCCGGCCCTCGTCGAGAATGCGCTGGCCTACCCGGACGGGGAGTGCTTCTTCGGAAAAGACACGGCCATGACGACCTGCTGGGGCGCCTCGATGGTCGCCCAACTGCTCTATCCCGGCGAAAACGCCATGGCCGCGGGCTTGAGCTGCACCATGTCGGCCTACCTCGCCGTCGTCGCCGGCAAGACGCTCCTGAAGCGCGCGCGGCCGGACCCCGACGCCGTCGGCCTCGCGCCGCGGACGGCGGCGGGCCTCGCCGCGCGGAGCCGCTTCGCGGACTCGCCCAAGTGGCTCAACACGTCCTTCCCGTCCGGCGGCGCCATGATATCCATGGGCTTCGGGGCCTTCTTCGCCGAGTGGACGGGCAGCCCGCTGTGGTACGCGGTGCCGGCGGTGACGAGCTTCGCGCGCGTCTACTTCTGCTGCCACTGGCTCGGCGACGCGCTCGTCGGCGCCGCCGTCGGCTACCGCGTCGTCCGCACGATCGTCGCCCTCGGCGGGCCCCTCGGCCTCCGCGGCATCTCGGCCGCGTCGCCGTTGTGCTACGCGCCGACGGCGCTGATGACGCTCCTGGCGACGGCGAAGTACCTCAAGGAGCGCAAGCTCGCCCAGAAGGACCGCGGACCCTAGGTTAACTTGCCCCGCTTCTCAATTAAGATCAAACGGCGCCCTCGTCCATGTCCTCCTCCTCGCCGGAGGAGCTGTCGGCGGGCGCCTCCGCGGGCGGCGCCGCCGCGGGCGGCCGGAGCAGGTGCGCCGCGTGGCGCGCGAGGTCCGCCTGCGCCGCGGCGGCGGCCGCCGCGTCGGGCGCGGGCGCCGGCGCCTCGTCGTCGTCGTCGTCGTCGTCGACGACGACGCGGCGGCGCCGCGCGGGCGCCGGCGGCTTGCCCCACTCGTCCTCGTCGTCGTCGTCGTCCGCGCGGCCGCCGCCGGCGGACGAGTCGTCGGAGTCGTCGGCGTCGGAGTCGTCGCGCGCGGCCGCGGCCGCGGTCGGCGTGCGCGCCCGGCCGCTGCGGCGCGGCGCGCAGGCGAGGTCGTCGGCGGGCGCCGCGCGGCGGCGCTTGAGCTGGCTCAGGGGCACGTCCGAGTCGTCCGAGTCGTCGTCCGAGTCCCAGTCGTCCGCGCGCTTCTTCCGCTTCGGCGGCGCCTTCTTCGGCGCCGGCGCCTTCTTCGGCGGCGGCGCCCGCGGCGCCGGCGCGGGCGCCCGGGCCGGCGGCGCGAGGTTCCGCGCGGCCGCTTTGGGCGACTTGGCGTCGTCGAAGGTCCGGATCGACGGCCGCGGCTTGGCGTCGAAGGACCGGATGGGCTGGAGGTTCCGGGCCGGCTCGGCCCGGCGCGAGAGCTGGGGCCGCGACTCGGAGAAGGTGCGGATGACGTTGGGCTTGCGCTTCTCGTCGTCGAAGGACGACGCGCGCGGCCGCGGCGCCGCCGCGGCGTCGTCGAGCGAGGTCGACCGCGGCCGCGGCGGTCCGCCGCGGGGCGTCGGGCCGTTCTGCGAGTTGGCCCGGGGCCGGTCGGCCTTGGCGAAGAGGTCGCGGCAGCGCGCGGAGAGGCGCGGCAGGAGCGTGACCTCCTCCTCGAGCGCCTGCGACGAGAGCGGCCGGCGGACGTCGTACTGGGGCACGACCCAGACGTAGCGCGCCGCGTAGGCCTCCCAGGCCGTCGGGTTGTCGTCGAGGATGACGCACTTGGAGCCGTTGCCCGCGCGCAGCGCCGCGGCGACGTCCGCGGGGAGCTTCTTGGAGCCGGCCTGTGTGGAAATCAACCAGTGAGCTGGGACGTCGGGGCCAAACTTGAGAATTCTCTAGCTCGATCAAATCGAAGTCGATTCGGCTGATTTTTGGACGAATCGATTGCTCTCGTCGAGTTCTCGAAGCGTGGAAGAAGAGCTTGCGTCGAAACCGTCGCATACGCTCACATTGAAGTCGGGTTGAAGATTTGATTTCCACACAGGAGCCCGCCGCGCGGTCTCGGACGACCTCGACGTGCGCGACGCGCGCCCAGCCCCTGGGCTCGGCGCCGTCGGCCTCGCTCGCCGCGAGGGCGGCGATGGCCTCGACGCCGATCAAGTTCGCCGTGACGACGCGGACGACCGCGCCCGCGGCGTGCAGGTCGCAGAGGAGCTTCCTAGCGCCGCGCCTGACCGCCATGACCTGGCGCGGGCCGTCGGGCCCGTCGACGGGCACGACGCCCTCGCAGATCACGTCGAGGCCGCCCGGGAGCTCGCCCTCGGGCATCATGTGGAAGAGCGTGCCGTCGAGGTCCAGGAGCGCGAAGAGTTTCGCGGGTTCCGGCGCGGGGATGAGAGCGCGGATCGAGTCGACGCGCCGCGCGCGCTTCGGCGGCTTCGCCTCCTCGTTCGACGGCTTGCGCGCGGGCACGAGCTTCGGCATGTCCGCGCGCGCGGAGGCGAGCTTCGGCATGTCCGCGAGCCGCGGCGCGGCGGGCGCGGCGGGCGCGGGCGCGGGCGCGGCGGCGGGCGTCGCGGGCCGCTTGGCCTCCGCCGGCGCGTCGGGCCGCTTCGTCTTGGCGATGCGGAACTTGTCGAGGTTGCCGACGAAGGGGTTGTGCAGCTTGCCCTTGGGCGCGGCGGCCTTGGGCCGCGCGGTTGTCGTCGGGCGCCGCGCGGCGGGCGCGACGGCGCTGAGGTGCTTCTCGCTCGTCGCGTACTCGGAGCCGTCGTCGTCGTAGCGCACGACCCAGACGCGCGCCTCCTCCGTCTCGCCCTCGTCCTCGAGGCGCACGATCTTGCCGCGGTAGAGCGCGTCGCCGGGGACGGACGCGGCGAATTTCGCGCCGAATGCGATGGGCTTGGCAGCGACGGTCGTCCCGACGCGGAACGTCGCCTGGGCCGATTTCTCGGCGCGGGCCGCGAGCATGGCGGGTGCTTGGGGCTGGTTTTCGCTGGGCTTACGCTGGGATGGGCTGTTTTTTTGGCTGGTTGGTAGGAGGCTTTTCACAGCCCCATGCTCGCGCAGCTCTCTCTCTCGCTGCAGCTCAACGGCAAGTTTGGCCTCGCTGGCGTCCTGCCGACCGCGCGCGCGCCAGTGTCGAGCATACACACACACACATCGCCGCAGCTTACCCCTCGCCCCGCCGCTTCGCGGCGTCCGGCGCCAGGAGCGCGACGAGCGCGGCGATTTCGGCGAGCTCGCGCGCCGGGTAGTGGCGGCCGTCCTTGGTCTCGTCGCAGCGGCCGTCCGTGAGGCCGAAGCCGTCGACGACGCCGACGTCCGCGTCGAGGCCCCCGAGCGTCGCGAGGAGCCGCGCGTTGAGCCGCGCGACGCCGTCGCGCGTGAACGTCGACGCGAGGCACTGCGCGCGGATTTCCGCGTCCATGCCCATGGGGAACTTGGGCCGCAGCGCGCGGACGCAGGACACGGCGTAGCCGTGCGGGTCGTTTCGGAGCTGGTCGACGAGCCGCGCGTAGTCGCGGTTGTAGCGGTCCTCGCAGATCGCCTGGGCAGGAAACAACCAGTGGAACGCCCCGTCCAGCGAAAGCTTCGAACCTCTCTAGCTCGGTCACATCGAAGTCGTTTCGGCTGATTTTTGGACGGATCGCTTTCTCTCGGAATCTCTTTAGACTGCGAAAAAGATATGTCAAACCCGTGCGATTACTTTCATATTGAAGTCGTTTCGAACATTTTTGTGTCCTGCCCGGCAGATCGCGTGGCCCGTCATGAAGACCAACGTCGCGCCCGCGTAGCGCCGCCGGCTCTCAACAACAAAACGCCGTAGGAAAAACTCCGCCGAGGCCCAGCACTGGAAGCACTCGAAATCTCTAGCCGGCAAGAGATGCAGATAATGAAGCCCGCCGTTCGCGTAGATGGCCGTCGGCGCCCTCCCGAGCGCTTCTGCCACGTGGCCGAGCGCCTCGAGGCCCTTGTGGAACCCAAAGTCGCCGCGGTCCTTGGGCGACATCCAGGCCACCGTGACGTTGCGACCGGCGCAGGCGAAGACGAGCGGCTTCGCCGGCGTCCGGGCGGCCGATGCGTTGAGGAGGCCGCAGAGCCGCTCGAACTGGGTCCGCATGGTCGAGTCGCCGACCATGGCGATCGTGGAGCCGCGGAGCGTCGCCACGTCGACGGCGCCGGCGACGACGCAGGAGAGCAGCGCGCGCCGCAGGAGCGCGGTCATGCAGACCGCTAGGCATCCTTGGGGCAGCCATGCCGTCTCGAAGTGATGCAACGAGCCGATGTTTGAGATTCGGGACTTTTTGCACGGCGATGACAGCTCCCGCGGCTGCTCCCCGCATCGAAGATGAGCCGTGGCTATCCGCATTCACGGACCGGCACCATGGAACCAGGAGAGGCATGGCTCTGTGCATTTGCGACCGTCCTCGGACTGTTTAGCGTCGCTTTCCCGACAAGCATGAACAACTTCGTCGCGAGGCTGCTATGCATCGCACAGATCGCGCCGGCGACGCGCGCGCTCGACGCGCCGCGGGGCGCGCGTCGACGGATGGTGCGCGGCGCCCACCGCCGGGGCCGCGCGATTCGGCCCGCCGCCGTCGGGAGCGGCCGGGGCGCGGACCACCCGTCGGCGTTTCTCGAGGACGGCGACCTCGTCGCGTACCAGACGGGCGCGTGGGACGTCGACGGCGTCGCCGTCGGCGACGGCGAGCCCGAGATCGCCCTCGCCTTCGTGACCCTCGTGCAGCTCGTCTTCACGCACAACTGCGAGCACGGCTGGATCCACGGCGTCGCCGCGCGGTGCGAGGCCGGCGTCGCGACGGCGACGGACGACGAGCTCCAGTTCGGCCCCGAGCAGCTCCGCGCGCGCCTCGCCGGCGCCGCGGGCGACGACGGCTCCGTCGCGCTCGACGGACCGAGCCTCGCCGCCGTCGCCGCGGCCGAGGCCGCGATCACCTAAGAGCCGGGACCGCCTAGTAAAACCTCGGCCGCGATCACCCAAGAGCTGCGACCGCCTAAAACCGCGGCCGCGATCACCTAACCCCCGTTACTCGGCGCCGCCAGCGCCGCGAGGTCCGCGTCGAGGGCCTCGAACAGGTCCGCGAGGAGCGCGAGCGCGGAGCCCATCTTGTCCTTGATGAACGCGCGCGCGATGGCCGCGAGGCAGCCGCCGAGGCGCGGCACGTCCGACCGGGCCCGGAGCTCCGCGTCCGCCGGGCCCGCGTCCCCCGCCGCGCGCGGCAGCACGTCGAGCTCCAGCGCGAGCGTCTCGCGGAGCAGCTCCCGCAGCGCGCCGAGGGGCAGGAACAGCGACAGCGCGCGCTCGCTCCAGGACGGCTCCGCGACGTCCGCGAGCGCCGCGCGCCAGCGGAGGCCGACGCCGTCGTCGGACGCGTGCCGCAGCGCGAAGCGCATCGCGGGCAGGGCCACGACGCCCCCGAAGCGCCGCGACAGGCGGAGCCGCAGTGCGACGACGACGTCGATGGACGCCTCGCCCGCGAGGTCGGCGAGCGAGCCCAGCGTCGCGCCGGACGCGTAGCGGAGGCGCCCGGTGGACGCCGTCGAAAAGTCGCAGCGGAAGCGCTCGTGGCTCACGGCGTAGGACAGCAGCACGTCGTCGGCGCGCTGCAGCGTGACCGCCGCGTCGTCGAGGGACGCGAGGATCTCGCCGATCGACGGGTATTTTTTTGTTAGCCCATCGAGGTCGATGGGCCAGCGAAGCGCGTGCGCGAGAAAGTCGCCGCGGTCGTCGCGCGTCCGCGTACACCTGTCACAATGAAAGACGACGCGCGCGACGTCGAGGAGCCGCGGGCACGCGCGCGACGCGTCGGCGAGCCAGTCGCCGCCGGGCCGCGACACCTCGTCGAAGACGCGCTGCGCGGCGGCCGCGAGGTCCCCCGCGGACCACACGTCGCGCACGCCGAGCCGCGCGGCCGCCGCGTTCGCGCGCTCCCGCGCCGGCGCGTCGACCACGGAGAAGTCGAAGCGCACGGCGTCGTCGTCGCGGTCGTCGTCGCGCGACCAGTCCAGCGACGGCCCGGTCGCGCGGAGCGCGGCCGGCTCGCCGTCGAAGAGCGCCGCCATGACGGCGCGCCGCACGTCGTCGCGTTTGTCGTAGAGCGCGCGGCAGGTCTCGGCGAGCGGGCGGCACACGGCGGCCTGCGGCGACAGCGCCAGCGGCCGGAGCACGGCCGCGAGGCGGCTCGAGCCGTCTTGCTGCTGCGCCATCGCTGCTGCTGCTGCGCTAGCGCTGCGCCATTGCTGCTGCTGCGCTAGTGCTGCGCTATCACTGCTGCTGCTGCTAGCGCAAGTCCTGCTGCGCCATCACGGCGCTGCGCAACGCTGCGAAAGCTTTGCCACGGCAGCCATGCGAAGTCACTGCCTGCCACTTCACACAAAAGTGCTCGAGCAAACGTTGCCCCCTCTAATGCCGTTCGTCGGTTGCAACGGACTGTTAAATTTGGCCCGGGTCGCCTCGTGGCCATTCCTCGCGGTCGCGGCTCGGTCTCAAATTTAAAACATCAATGTTGCACCTTTCCCTTGAGCTCAATGCGGGAGTAGTCGTGACACAACTCAAAGGCAGCCCGAGCCCCCCGTCCTCCAACCTTCTTCTCGGCAGAAGGGCGGGCCATGGCGCGGGTCGGGGCGCCCCACGGTCGGGGCGGGGCCTTGTCCGGCGACGAGGAGCGGCCCTGCGTCGAGGCGCCCGAGATCGTGCGGAGGGGCAGCGACCTGAGGCGGGAGAGCATTCCCGAGGACGAGGAGGCGGCCTGGCCCGACAGCGACGACGAGCGGGACCCCGGGGGCGCGGACCTGCGGCGGCGGGGCACGGCGCACCACACGCGGGGCGAGTTCCACCGGCGGCGCGACAGCCACGAGCAGGTCTTCGACATGTCCGCGGCGACGAGCGACCATCGATTCGACGCGCCGCCCCTCGCGCGGCCGCGGCGCCGGTCGTCGACGGAGCTCAGCGATCATAGCGACGTCAGCGACTTCGCTCTCTCCGAGGGCGGCCGGTCCATGGGCGTCGCGCGCCGGGACAGCGCGCGCGACGTGAGCGACGCGGGCTCGGACGCGGGCGACGAGCTCGCGTCGTCGCAGAACCTCGACATGACCGTGCCGAACAAGCGGCGCCTGAGCCACTCGCTGCCGGAGCTCAAGCTCATGGACAAGGTCCAGCAGTTCCTCCAGGACAACCCGCCCGTGCCCGCGGCGGCGCCCGCGGACGAGCATCCGGGAAACCGGCGGCGGAAGATCGACCTGAGCCGCACGGAGTACCGGCGCCGCTCATCCGGCAACCTGAGCCTCCACGACGACGCCCACGACGTCCTCGCCGACGACGCGAGCGAGGGGCCCGCGACGGCGCGGAGCGACGCGCCGTCGGAGCTCGGGTCGCCCGTGGACCCGGCGCGGTCGCGGCGGCAGCGCAAGAACTACGACCTGGACCGCGACGAGTTCCGCCGGCGGTCCAGCGCCCAGCTGAGCCTCCACGACGACGATCTCGACGACCTCGCGGACCCGGCGGACGAGCCGCCGCGCGCGCGGACGCCCGCGCGCCTCGTCGCCGCGCTGCCGCCCGCGCTGCCGCCCGCGGACCGGCCCCGGCGCCACAGCCACAGCGCGAGCCCAGCGAGCAGCCCCACGGCCAAGCACCCGCGGCCGTCGCCCTTCGCGGGCAGCCCCCAGGCGTCGCCGACGAGCCGCCACCGCTTCGCGCCCGACCGCCTCCCGGGGCCCCGGCCCCAGCGCCAGGCGGCGGAGGACGCGCCGGCGCTCGCGCCGGCGCCCGCGCGCCCGGCGCCGGCCGCGCCCGCCGCCGCCGCCGCGCCGAAGAAGAAGGCTTCCTTCCTCCAGCGCCTCTCCGGCTTCCTCCCCAAAGTCGGCGCGCGGCCCAAGGCGTGACCCCACGCCGCTCCCCCCCTTCTTTTCTTTATGCTTCTCTCTCTCTGCCTTTGCGTACCAGTGGCGCACGGCCCTGGTTCCTCAACTCCGCGGCAACCGAGCTTCATGGACCGGTCGTGAGAATCGAATCGCCTCAGGCAATTGCGCGGCGCGACCACTCGTCCGCGCCGCATCGCATATGGTCATGCTCCGGCCCTGGCGCCGGAGCGAGTCGCCGACGGCCCTGGCGGACGCGCCCGTCGCGGCCCCGAGCCGCCCCCCGCCGCGGCGCAACTTCCTCGAGGACACGCTGCGGTCCCTAGTGAGCAAGAAGAAGCGGCGCTTCCGCGAGGACGGCTACGACCTCGACCTGACCTACGTGACGCCGCGGCTCGTCGCCATGGGCTTCCCCGCGGCCGAGCGCGAGGCCATGTACCGCAACGACGGCGCGGAGCTCGAGCGCCTCTTCGAGGAGCGGCACGGCTCCGGCCGCTACCGGCTCTACAACCTCTGCGCGGAGCGGTCCTACGGCCCGGACCGCTTCGGCGGCGCCTTCTGTCGGTTCCCCTTCCAGGACCACGCGCCGCCGCCCCTGGGCATGTTCTTCTTCTTCTGCGCGGACGTCGACGACTTCCTGCAGGCGGACGCCGGGGCCGTCGCCGCGGTGCACTGCAAGGCGGGCAAGGGCCGCACGGGCGTCATGCTGAGCGCCTACCTCCTGTGGAGCGGCCAGTGGGACGACGCCGACGACGCCATGCGCTTCTACGGCTTCGCGCGCACGGAGAACGTGAAGGGCGTGACGATCCCGTCGCAGCGGCGCTTCGTCCGCTACTTCCGGGCGCTGCTGGACCGGCGGGCGCCGCTGAGCCTGCCCGCGCGGTCCTCGGACGCGTCCGCAAGTCCCAGAACGCCCGCGCCGCCGCTCGACGGCGCCTCCGACGACGGCGACGCGTCGGAGACGGACGACGACGACGCCGCGCCGCCGCGGGAGCTCCGCGCGAGCCTCACGGCGCCCGCGGCCTCGTCCGGCGACGCGACGCCCCTGCGCGCCTGCGCCTCGCTGGGCCCGAAGCCCCCGCGCGTCGCGGCCCGCGCGCCCGACGACGCGGCGCCGCCGAAGGTCAACGGGAAGACCGGCTTCGACGCCGCGCGCGCGGCGCTCGCGTCGCTCGAGGCCCACCCCGAGCGGTTCCTCGTCGCGGGCCGGGCGCCGCGGCACCTCGTGGACCCGGCCTGGAACGCCGAGAACCGGCGCCAGGCGCGGGGCCACCGCGGCCACCTGCCGCCGCCGGTCGTGTTGGCCGTCGCCGAGGTCAACCTCCGCAACGTCCGACCGAACGACCTGCTGGGCCGGCACTACGAGCCGTGCTTCACCATCGCCTGCCGCGACTTCGAGTACCGGTCCGCGGACCTGCTCAAGGCCGCGGGCGGCGCGCGGTCTTTCAGAGCGCCCGCGGCGCTCGTTTCTCTGCCGCTGCCCTTCGGCGCGGCCGTCGTCGACGAGGTCAAGGTCACGTTCCACCGGCGGGGGCCCTACGCGCGGGGCAAGGCCGACTTTTCCTTCTGGTTCCACACGGCCTTCGTCGACGGCGGCGTCCTGACGCTCGGCAAGGCGGATTTGGACAAAGCGTGCAAGGACGGCGCGCACCGCCGGTTCCGCGCGGACTTTGGCGTGGAGCTCCGCTTCGCGCCCGTCGAGCCGACGCTGAGCCGGATCCTCTTCCCCCTGGGGTCCAAGCCCCTCGCGTAACGCGCGTGGTCGGGTAAGGCCCTTACTTTTGCGCGCCGCGGCGTCCGCGCGTCTCGAAACTCACGGCGACGCGGGCGGGTTGTTCTTCAGCTGGATGAAGACCTGGCGCATGCGGCTCGTGTCCATGTTCTCGTCGGACGTCGACGCCTGGAGGTCCACGAGGCTCACGATGCGCTCCCAGGGGTTCTCGCCCTCGCCCTCGGCGGCGAGCTGCTCCATGAGCACCTGCTCCTTCTCGCGGTTCGTCTGCATGGACGCGCGCATCTTGACCTCGCGCTCCTCCTCGAAGGCCTCGAGGGCCGCCTTGGCCTCGGCGAGGTTCGTCGCGAGCACCTCGGCCTCCTTGGCCTCGCGCACGCGGATCTCCTCGTCCCACTTGGCCTGGAGCTCGGCGTCGATGGACGACGTGCCGTTCGTCACCGGGTGGTCGTAGTCCGGGAACTCGTCCATGGGCTCCGCCGGCGCGGCGCGGCGCGGGCGACGAGAGGACAAAGGCGGCTTCCCGCGACGACGCGAGGCGACACCGCGATTGGCCGTCGACACACACAACTATACGCTGGCGCGCTTGCGGTTTGCCGCGCCGCCACGTTGAACGGCTTCCACAAAGCATGGCGGCGTCGCAGAGGCGTGGCGTCGCGCTGCTGTGCCTCGCCTCGGCGGCGTGCACGCGCATCATGGCGCCGACGGCGCTGGACATCGAGGAGGCCTGGGCACAGTCCGCGAACGACGGCGTCATCTTCAAAGAAAACTGCGCGCGGTCTTCTCAGGACGCCGAGACCTGCGAGGCTCGCTGGGTGCGCTGGGTGGCCATGCGCGCGCGCGACATCGCGCGCCGGCGCGAGGTCGACGACGGCGGCGCCGCGCGCGGCCCGCTGCGGCCGCCGGGCCCCTTCGCGGCGCCGGGGAGCTCTCCCCAGTCGTACGACGCGCTGCCGCTCGGCCCGGGCCTCGACCCGCTTTACGCCTGCGGCGCGGCGCGCGCGGCCATCGCGCTCGGCGTCGTCTCCGGCGCGGGCAACGGCGCCCACCGGCGGGCCATCCGCGCGACCTGGGCCAGAGCCGCGGGCGCCGCGTCCGCCGTCGTCCGCTTCTTCGCCGCGGTCCCAAAAGACGGCGAGCTGCCCGCGGCCTTCGTGAACGAGATGGCGGCCCACCGCGACGTCCGCGTCTGCAACTTCACGGAGTCCTACGCCGCCACGTTCCACAAGACCGTCGCCATCTTCCGCTGGGGCGCGCGCGTCTGCGGCAGCTGGTACACGCTGCGGGCGAACGACGACGTCTACCTCCGGCTCGAGCGCACGGCCCGGCTCCTCTTCGCCACGGGCCCGCCGTCGCGGCTCTACGGCGGCCTCTTCGTCGACGGCGCGGCCATGCGCGTGCCCCGGGCCGAGTCGGTGCCCCGGGCGCCCGACGGCGTGCCCGACGACCTCTGGCTCCGGGCGAACAAGGCCTGGGTCGTCTCGCGCGGCGCCTACCCGGCGGACGCCTACCCGGACTTCGCCCAGGGCAACGCCTACGTGCTCTCCTGGGACCTGGCCGAGGCCCTGGCGGCCGTCGGCGACGCGTACCACCGGAGCGCGGTGCGCGACCTGCCCGACGACGTCGCCGCGGCGCTTTTGGTCGACGCGGCGGCCGGCGGCGGCGAGCGGCGGCTGCTCGTGCCCGCGGACTACGCCTTCGAGGGCCGCTGGACGGCCTGCTCCGCCGACGCGTTCTGGCACTTCAACCTGCACCCGGAGCACATGTACGACTTGGACCTCGCGGAGCCGGGCCGGTCGTGGCGCCGCGCGGCGTTCGACGTCGACGGCGCGGCCGTGGCCGTCGACTTCGACGACGCGGAGAACGTGTCGGCCGTCGCGCGGGACCTCGCCGTGGACCACGTGCTCCTGGGCATCGGCTGCCCGAAGTTCGACGCGGGCTGCGTCGCGGACTCCTTGGCGCCCGCGCTCGCCGCGGCGCCGACGATGGTCGCCGAGGACCAGTGCGCGACGATCCCCGACGGCCTGTTCTGCTGCGGCTAGGCCCCTTAAATCCCGCCGACGAGGGTCTCGTAGAAGGTCCGCTTCTCCTTGCCGTGCTGGTCGCCGTCCGTGGACGGCACCGCGAGGCCGAGGCGAATGACCAGGTCGCCCCAGGCCTCCGTCGGCCCGTCGGCTGCGTCGAAGTGGCGGAAGCCGCGCTTCTCGACGCGGATCTCCGTGCCCGGCGGCGCGGGCTCCTTCCGCTCCACGGCCACGAGGCTCCCGTCGAGGTGCTCGTAGACGCGGACGAAGCCCCAGAGCATCTCCGCGGCGTCGAGGTCGTCGTCGATGACCAGGTCGTCGCCGACGCGCGTGAAGTTGTCGTGACTCTCCACGTGGACGCGCAGCACGAGGGGGCCCGGCTCGATTTGGGCTTGTAAGGGCCCGCGCGCCGGCTCCAATTTCGTGTCCCCGAGGCTTTCGCGGCGCAGCTCCCAGCCGTCGTAGACGCCCTGGGGGAGCAGGATGCGGAACCAGCGCTCCTCGGGCACGAGCCGCGCGCCGTGGCAGTGCGGGCACGCGTCGCCGGGCGCCCACGTCTCGCCCCAGCCCTGGCAGCTCCCGCAGACCGTCGACCGCCGCCCGTCGACCGCGGCGCCCGGGGCCCAGGCCGCGCGGCGCACGCCGCCCTCGGCGCAGCGGCCGCAGGGCGCGAGCTTCTCCGGCAGCGCGCCGCGGCCGCCGCAGACGCCGCAGACGACCTTGCGCTTGACTTCGAACGACACCTCCTTGCCGCCCCGGAAGCTCTCGAGGAGGTCGATGGTCACGTCGGCGAAGATCTCGGGCCCGGCGAGGGGCTCCGTCGCGTTCTCCCGGGCGCGGCTCTCGCAGTTGCCGCGGACGACCTCGAGCTCGAAGGCCGCGCCGCGCTCGCGGTACGACGAAAAGTACGTCGCCGTCTGCGGCAGCGCGTCGCAGGCACCGACGCGCCAGCGCTCGCCGCCGGCGTCGCCGTGCTTCGCGTCGAGCGCCCGGTCCGACACGGACGCGACGAGCGTTTCCACCGCGTCGTCGCCGGTCTCCGCCCCTTGGTACCGCTCGGCGATCACGCGGCCCCGCGACGGCAGCCCCTCCGTGCGCCGCGCGCGCCAGAGCGTGCCCTCGCAGCCGAGGCGCCGCACGACGGCGCCCGGCGCCAGGAAGATGCCCGTGTGCTCGCGGCCGCGCGCGTCGACGCGGTGGACGACGACGGCCCGGCCCGCGTCGTTCCAGATCTGCAGCTCGAGCTCGCGGCCGACGCAGCGGTCCCGCGCCGACGTGCCGTTGGACGCGACGGGGCAGTAGCGCGCCGCGTGCGTGGCGCCCAGCGCGCAGAGCGCCGCCGCGCGCCGGCGGCGGCGGGCAAGAGGCTGGGTCATCTCGCACTCATCACAATGTCACGAGCTCATAGCGCAGCAGCCCCAAAACTCAACGAAATACCGATTGAACCCGAGTTGAAGGGGTCGCGTGCGCACCCGACGTCTTCGGAGCTACCTCACGAGTCCCGATTGCAATTCCACTTACGCCCTAGGCGTTGAGCTGGGCCTCGGCCATCGCGGCGAACTTCCAGACGGGCGCGGCGAACGCGCTCTCGGCCTTGGCCTCGATGAGGGGCGAGTCCGACTCGTCGTCGTAGGCGGGCGCGGGCGCCGCCTTGCGCTTCCGGCCGCCGGCCGCGACGTCCGACGCGCCGTTGGCGATGAGCTCGAGGTAGCGCACGACGCCGTTGGAGCCCGTGATCGTGCGGATCGACGTCTTCGACGCGTTCTTGGACCGCTCGAGGATGCGGCCCACGGCCGGCCACCCGGCGGGCGGCTTCGCGCCGAGCTCCTGGTTCGACTCGTCGTTGACCTGCCAGCCCGCGCGCGCGAGCGCGAGGCGCACGTTCGTCTTGTAGCCCTTGTCGCGGCCCTCCGTGAGGAGGCTGAGCTCCGCGTAGAGGAGCCGCGCCGTCGCCCGGAGCTCGCGGTCGTCCGCGGGCGGCGCGACCTCCACGCGGGGGATGAGCTTCGGCGGGCCGTCGTCGTCCGAGGCCTCGTCGTCGTGCCGCGCGCCCGCGCCGACCTGCGTCTCCGCGTCGCGCGACACCGTCGCCGTGAAGACCGCGTCGTCGTAGCACGCGAAGGCGCCGCGCACGGGCGTCCGGTCGAGGGCGAGCGCCGCGACCTTGGCGCCGGGGCCGAAGCGGTCCGCGACCCGGGCCGCGACCTGTGCGGAAATCAACCGCTGGTTTGGGGGGTCCCCACCAAACTTCGGAACTCTCTATCTCGGTCAAATCGAAGTCGATTCGGCTGATTTTTGGACGAATCGATTGCTCTCGTCGAGTTCTCGAAGCACAGCAGAAAGCCTTGCGTCGAAACGGTCGGGTTGAAGATTTGAGTTCCACACAGGCCGCGACGAGGCTCCGGAGCGCCGCGACGGACGAGTCGTCCGGCGCGAGCACGACGACGCCCGGCGCGTCCTCGGCGCCCGCGAACCGCACGAGCACGCGCATCGTCGTCGCCGCGGGGGGCGGCGCGTCCTCGGTCTTCGGCGCGGCGGGCGCGGGCGCGGCGGGCGCCGGGCGCTCGGCGGCGGCGCTCTGCGAATCCGGCGGCGGCGAAGCCACCATGTCGACGTCGGGGCCCGGTGCGGGCTCCCGGGGCGCCGCGGGCGGCGCCGCGGCGCTCGGAGCGGTCGGGATGGCGTCCATGGGGGGGACGGGGACCGGGTCTGTGTGTTTCAGGGGCCGGTTCGGCGGCTCTCGAGACGCCTCTCGAGGAGCTCGGGTCGCTCGCCAAAGGCAAAATCTGAGATTTTCAAGCTTCACGCAGCTAGAAGTGATTTGCAATGGATAAGCTGCTCAAGCCGTCGACGGTCGCGGAGATGGCGGACACGGTCAAGAAGTCCATGGGCTCGCTGAGCACGAAGCCCGCAGCAGGCCAGACCGACGCCGAGGCCGTGCGCGAGTTCACGCAGGAGGCGGGCCAGCCGACGCCGGACCGCCCGATCCCCATGACGACCGACGAGGTCAAGTTCATCGCGAAGATGATTTTAGACGAGACCATGGAGCTCCTCGCGACGGTCATGTCCCCCGCGGAGTCGAAGTCGACGCTCAAAGCGATGATCGACGTGTCCGAGGACCTGCCCAAGGAGAAGTACGACCAGGCGACGGAGGCGGAGCGCGACATCCACAAGTGCGCGGACCAGGCCGACGCGCTCGTCGACGCGCGTCGCCCGGCGTGCCTCTTTTCGGACGCGCCGCGCGCGAAACCCCCCGTCGTCGTTTCAACGCGTCGCGCGAACCCCTTTTCGGTCGTTTCCAGGTCTACTACTACTCGCTCAACGCGGCCGCGAAGAAGGGCATGAACCTCTCCGCGGTCTTCGGCGTCGTCCACGGCGCGAACATGGCCAAGCGCAACCCGGCGACGGGCAAGTTCGAGAAGCGCGAGAGCGACGGCAAGATCATCAAGCCGCCGGGCTGGTCGCCGCCGGACGTCGAGGGCGAGCTCAAGCGCCAGCTCGCGGAGGGGTCCTTCTAGGGGGAGACGCTGCTGACAACAAGGTAACTTACGGCTCGCGCGGGTCCCACAGGGCGTCTAGTAGTCGCCGTAGATGTGACCCATGATGCCGCTGTAGTCCGGGGCGTCGGTGTGGGCGAGGACGGCGTTCTCGCGTTCGATCTTCTTGCGGATCGCGGCGAGCTTCGCCTGCCCCTCGTCGTCGTCGTCGTCGGGCTCGTTCGCGATGAAGTAGCCGCCGAGGCCGAGGTGGACGCAGTCGGTGACGATGTTGTTCTCCTTGATGCGCACGGCGGGCTCCTCGGGGATGTCGCTGAAGTGCAGCGCGGCCCCGGCCCGCGAGACGGACCCGTAGTTGGCCACGGTGCAGCGCAGGAGGTGCACGGGCGCGTGCGCGAGGACCGTAAACCCGCGCGTGCGCGGGCCCGACTCGAAGACGCAGTCGACGGCTCGCACGTGGCCGCCTCCGAAGACGACGCAGGGGCTCCAGTCCTCGCCGCCGTCGGGGTCGACGCGGACGCGCAGGCCCTCGAGGTCGACGAAGACGTCGCGCGCCGAGACCCAGAGCGCGACGTTGTTGCTCACGATGGATCCGTTCGGCGTGCCGACGACCTTGATCGTCGTGTTCAGCGACAGCGTGTTGATCTGCGACGTCGAGCCGACCGTGTAGCCGCAGTCGCGCGCGGTCGCGCTCACCTTCTCCTTGTCGCACGCGGGCTCCATCAGTTTCAGGTCGCACTTCTTGTCGACGACGAGCACGGAGCCGGACTTCTCCATGTCGTGGACGCATTCGAAGATGTTCGACCAGCAGCCGGCGAAGGTGCCGTGCTTCGCGAACGCCTTCTCCGCGGCGGCGGCGTCCGAATCGGTGACGACGTAGACCTTGGCCCGCTTCGTCGGCTTGAGCGCGGGCGGCGGCACGCCCTCCCAGAGGCCGTACTTGTCGCAGACCTTGAGCATGTCCCAGCAGCGCTGGTTGCGGGCCAGGAAGTTCCACTTGCCCGACGACGACGGGCTCTTCGGGTACTTGGGGTAGTCGTCCATGCTCTTCGTCCCGACGGGCTGGGCCTGCCAGGCCTTGAGGGAGGTGGTGTACTCGACGAGCTTCGCGTCGTGCTTGAGCTGGGCCGTGGCCTTTCGAATGGCCCGCTTCGCCTCGAGCGTGTCCTCGGAGCCGTGCTTGGCGACGGCGGCTTTCAGCGCGTCGGCGACGAGCACGACGCTCATCTTCGTCATCATCAGGCCGTGAGCCTTGGTCTCGTCGTCGACCTTGAGGACCGCCACGCCCTTGAGGTCCTTGTCCGTGATGAGGTAGCTTTCCTTCGCGTAGGAGTACGAGCAGAGCTGGCTCGGCGCGGCGCCCTCCGTGCCGTGGTCGCCGCTGTCGAGGCACCGCCAGCACCGCAGGCAGGTCCGCGCGCACGTCAGCGTGTCGAACCACGCGGCGCCGTGGCCGCACTCCGCGCAGTGGCCGGACGACAGCGCCGCGCAGACCCGCCGCACGCCGTACGCGCGCTCCGTCATCTCGCGCTGGTCCGCGGAGATCTTCTTGTATCCCTGCCAGGCGTCGCACTCGCTGAGGAAGGTCTTCCAGATGTCGTCGACCTCCGTGAGCAGGGCCGTGGCGCCGCGGTCGACGAGCGACAGGGCGACGACGTCGCGGTAGGCGCAGTAGCTCGCGACCTCGCGCAGGAGCTCGTGCTCGTGGCTGAGGATGCGCACGAGCGCGCTCTGCTTCGGGAGCGCGACGGGCGGCGCGGGCGCCTTCTTCGCCTTCTTCGCCGCCTTCTTCGCCGCTGGCGGCGCCTTGGCCTTCTTGGCCACCGGCTTCTTGGCGGGCGCCGGCTCGTCGTCCGACTCGATGGCCTTGGGCGCTGGGCGTTTCACCCGTGTGGAGCGGCGCGCCGGCTCGACCGCGGCAGTGTTCGCCATGGTGTCTTGGTGGTTGGAGTTGGGCTGTACACGACGCGAACGATCCGAGGCGCGCCGGCGTCGGGTCGAGTCGAGCTGTGCTGCTCTGTTCGAAAGTTTGCACTGTCCGGACGGGTGATGTTGCCTTGCCAATGCCGGGCAGCCATCTCCATGGTCTACGGCATGCCCAGCGAGAGCTTGCACTGATTTAGCCCAACGAAGCACAGCTCGACCCATGCCGCGCTCGAGGAAGAAGCCCGCGAAGAAAGGAGCAGCGAAAGCGAAGGTCCAGACGCTTGATGCCGAGGAGGAGCCCGAAATCATCACGGTCGCGCGCGCGGCCCGGCTCACGCCCGTGGAGGCGGTCATGGTGTGCGCCGGGTTCATGTCGTCCCTCGCGGCGCTGCTGACGGAACGCGCCGTGGAGGACATCAAAAACTACGCCGAGGAGGAGGGCGTCGCCATGACCGAGGAGCGAGCCAAGGCGCAGGCGACGGAGGAGGTCGCGCGCATCCTCGGCGCGACGCGCGGCGAGGAGCCCTGCGACGCCGTCCAACGACACGCCGCGGCGTCGGGCCGCTGGCTCGTCGACGCGCTGCGCTCCGCGGCGCCCCCGGCGCCCCCGGCGACGCTGCTCCGACTCCTCCGGAAGACGTCGCAGCTGAGGCTGCGGTCCGCGCTGCCCGACGACGACGCGGCCGTCGCGCCTCTCGTCGCGGCGCGCTTCCGCGCCATGCTCCCGGAGCGGAAGACGTCCCAGCGGAAGACGTTGGAGTCGCTCGACCTCGCGGGCTGGTTCGCCGCGCAGCAGATCTGGCTCGACCCGCGCGGCGTCGTCCTCGACAAGGAGCCCGCGCTCGTCGCGCCGTGGCGCCGCTTGCTCGACAGCGGGCGGACGGTGCTCGAGCTCCATGCCTCGAACGAGCTCTTCGGGCCGTGTCGAGCTGCGTGGCATTCAACCGGTGGTTCGGGGCGCGCGGACCGAACTTCGAAACTCTCGGTCGAATCCAAATCTTTCGACCCAGGTTAAACGCCTTCCTGGACGCGACGGACGACTCCCACGAGGAGCTCGACGCGGCCGCCGGGTGCCGGGACTGGCAGGTGTCGTCCGACGTGCGCCACGCGAACTCGCGGGCCGCCGCGCAGCGCGGCGTCGACGCGCTCGACGCCGCGGCCCGGAAGCGCGTGGGCCGGCGCCAGCTCGCGGGCGCGCGCTTCAACAGCCGCCGCTTCCGCGAGGACCTGGTGCCCGGGGTCAAGGGCCACGTGCCGCGCGCCGCGGACGCGCGCGGCCGCGTCCACGGCTTCGTCCACCTCCTGCGGCGGACCGGCGGCGCGTGCCCGGGCCTCAGCGACCTCGCGGGCTGCTTCGGCGGCAACGCGCCCTGGGTCCCGCGCCGGCGTCCCGACGATGAATTGCGGGGAACCGACGAACGCCCCGTAGGCCTACGCGCTCAACGACTGCACGAACCTGGACCTCGAGCACATCGCCGCGTTCTGCGGCCTCTCGATCCTCCTGGGCGGCGCCGAGGGCGACGCGAGGGAGCACGCGATCTGCGCCTGCTCCGCGTTCGCCGCGGCGCCCGAGGCCGTCGACGCGCTCCTGGCGTGGTTCGCGCTGACGCCGCGCATCGGCCGGACCGAGGAGCCGCCGGAGGGGCCCCACCCGTGGAGCGACCTCTTCCTCGGCGACGACGGGACGCCCGCCGTGCCCGAGCTGTTCGACTACGTGCTCAGCGACACGCCCGTCCCTGCGACGCCGGCGCAGCTGACGACGAGCATGGAGTACTGCTGGATCATGCTCGAGGGGCCGCTCGCGGTCGCGACGCTCCTCTGCGGCGCGCGGTGCGGGTGGTCCGCGGGCCGGGCCGGGCGCGACCAGGCCTCGGGCGCGCTGGTCCCGCACCCGGTCCAGGCCACGGTCGCGGCGTCCGCGCACCTCCCGGGCTTCCTGGACCGCCTCCTCGAGTTCGTGTTCCTGTCGTTCGAGGACCCGAACCCGCCGGGCGTCGCGGGCCTCGCGGCAAAGGTCGGCCTCTCGGCGACGGAGGCCCCGCTTCTGAGCATCGGCGAAATCGCCGCGCGCTGCCTCGTCGCGCTCTGCCAGCGCGTGCCCGCCGCCGTCGCGCCGCTGCGGGCGGCCTACGCGCGCGCGACGATCAAAGAAGACGGCGACGCGCGCGTCGTCAACGCCATGTTCGTCTTCTTCCGCACGCAGTACGACGGCCGCTGGAACCTCTCGCCCGTCGGGTCCCGCGGCTACGTGTTCCTGAGCCTCTACCGGCGCGCGGCGCTCGACGGCCCGCCGCCGCCGCGGCTCCGGAGCTGCATGGCGTGCGGCCGGGACGAGGTGCCAGGCTTCCGGCTCTCCGCGTGCGCCAGCGTCCTGCGGCCGTGACGATTTTCGAGAGATTTTGGGTGGGAAAACGATGAACAATCGTCACCGACGTGCTTGGTAGGCTTGCGCGCGCTGCAACTCGGTCTACTTCTGCGGCCGCGACTGCCAGGCGGCCGCGCACGGCATGCACAAGCTCTACTGCTCCACGGACCGCTTCGTGCGCATCCGCGACGGCGACGCCGAGGAGCACGCGTCGCAGACGCGCGTGACGGGCTCGCGGCGGTCGTCGCACGCCATGGCGAAGCACATGCCGAAGATCGCCGCGGAGCTGGGCATGCCCTGGGAGGAGATCCTGGAGAACGCCAAGGCGGAGACCATGGCCAAGATGCCCTGGCGAGGGCGCCAAGCTGCCGCAAAGGCCATCATGGCCAAGATGCCGGGCGGCGCCTCCGAGTCGTATAAGAGCCCTTAGAACGGGAACGTCGCGAGGACGAGGCGCAGGGACGCGCACGCGTAGGCCCCCACGAGCGCGACGGCCACGGCGAGGATCTTCGGCCGCGTCGGCGCGAAGCCGAAGAGGGACGCCGTCGGCGGGTCGTGCTTGAGGAGGAGGTACGCGTGGATGTCGCGCTGGCGCACGAAGCGCCCGAGCATGTGGCGCGACGCGCGGTTCAGGTCCGCGACGGGGCAGAGCGGCGCGAGCACGTGGTAGAAGACGAGCGCCGCGTGGAGCGTGTCGTCCGCGATGGACAGCGGGTCCCGGTCGCGGGGCGGGCCGTAGAGGCCGAAGGCGTTCGCGACGTCCCGCGCGCCCAGCAGCGCGTAGAAGAGGCCCGAGAGGGCCACGTAGGCGCGCCAGTCGGTCATCTCGCGGATGACGGCGTCCTTGGCGAGCTCGTGCGTGCGGTCGTCGTGGACGACGTGGACCCGCCGCTCCAGCGCGCCGCACCGTAATACCAAACACGCGATGGGCCCGAGCCGCGGCAGGAACGCGAAGAGGTCCGCGGCGGCGAAGAGCGCCGGTCGCAGCGGCGACGCGGGCACGTTGCGGCACGTCGCCGACGCGTGGGCCGCGACGAACAGCGCGAAGCCGCAGCCCAACAACCGCGCGGGGGGCGGCGGCGGCGGCGGCACGCGCTGCACGCGCGAGTCGTGGGCGGGATCCTGGGACGGCGGCGGCAGGTTGCCGCGGCGCGCGTCGACGAGCGCGACGGCGTAGGCCGCGAGGGCCAGGGCCGCGTAGACGGCCTTGCGCGCGCAGACGTCCGCGGCGCCGCCGTCGGCCAAAGCGAGGACGCCCGCGTAGCAGATGCCGTAGCCCACCGTCGCCGCGAGGACCAATAACCCATAAACCGCGCGGTACCAGCGCCAGAACGCGTGGGGCTCCTCGAAGGACAGGCCCAGGATGCGCAGCAACAGCCGCTGGCGCCGCTCGCCGCGGCCGCCGTCGTCGTGGACGTGGTCGCCCTCGTCGCTGAAGGCGCTGAAGGACCGCGCGCTCAAAAGCGACGCGCTCAGGTCCCGCTGGTCCATAGGCGGCGCGTCCATTGCGTGCACGGCTTCAGGTCGGGGCGATCGTCTCGGGCTTCTTCATCGTAATTAAACCGGAGGCAACACCACGGCGCTCGGCACGACAACTTTACCCTGCCGCGCTTGAGGCTCGAAGTCTGAGCTCAGTGGTCGCCGCCGCCGAAGCCGCACCCGCTACGACGACGATGAACAACATGGTCCTCCTCCTCGCGAGCGCGAGCGCCCTCCGCGCGCCCCTGCGCCCGCGGCCCACGCGCACGTTGGCCATGGCGGCCAAGGAGCACTTCGACTACCTCGTCATCGGCGCCGGCAGCGGCGGCATCGCGAGCGCGAAGCGCGCGGCCCAGGTCCACGGCAAGAAGGTCGCCGTCGTCGAGCGCGGCGCCCTCGGCGGCACCTGCGTCAACGTCGGCTGCGTGCCCAAGAAGGTCATGTTCAACGCGGCGCACATCATGGAGTGCCTGCACGACGCGCCCTTGTACCAGTACTCCGGCGCGGAGGACGTCAAGCTCGACTGGGGCAAGCTGAAGACGGCGCGCGACAACTACGTCGTGCGCCTCAACGGCATCTACGGCCGCGGGCTCGACGGCGCGGACATCACGACGCTCACGGGCCTGGCGTCCTTCGGCGACGACGGCGAGGTCATGGTCGGCGGCGAGGCCTACACGGCGGACCACGTGCTCGTGGCCGTGGGCGGCGTGCCGTCGCTGCCGCTGGAGCTCGAGGGCGGCGAGCACACGATCACGTCCGACGGCTTCTTCGAGCTCGAGGCGATGCCGGAGAGCTGCCTCGTCGTCGGCGCGGGCTACATCGCCGTGGAAATGGCGGGCATCCTCAACGCCCTCGGCTGCGACACGACGCTCGCCGTGCGCGGCGACAAGGCGCTGCGCGCCTTCGACGAGCTCCTGTCGACGACCCTCGACGCCGAGATGAAGCGCGCGGGCATGAAGATCGCGACGGGAACGACGCTCGCGAAGGTCGAGCTCGTCGACGGCAAGAAGGTGGTCACGACGACGGACGGCGCCACGCTCGGCCCCTTCGACGAGGTGCTCATGGCCGTGGGCCGCAAGCCCCTCGTCGAGCCGCTGAAGTTGGAGAACGCGGGCGTCGACCTGAACGACGAGGGCTACGTCGCCGTCGACGAGTACCAGCGCACGACCTCCGAGCACAACGTCTACGCCCTCGGCGACGTCTGCGGCGCCATCGAGCTCACGCCCATGGCCATCGCCGCGGGCCGCCGCCTGAGCGACCGCCTGTTCGGGGGCCCCGAGTGCGCGAACGCGAAGGCGGACTACGAGGGCGTGCCGACCGTCGTCTTCTCGCACCCGACCATCGGCACCATCGGCCTCACGGAGGCCGAGGCGCTGGAGAAGTACGGCGAGGCCAACGTCAAGGTCTGGACGTCGACCTTCGTCAACCTCTGGTACGGCCCCATGCCCATCGACCCGTCCGACAAACCGAAGACGGCGATGAAGCTCGTCACCGCGGGCGCCAACGAGCTCGTCGTCGGGCTCCACGTCATCGGCCTCGGCGCCGACGAGATGCTCCAGGGCTTCGGCGTCGCCATGAAGATGGGCGCGACGAAGGCCGACTTCGACAGCTGCATCGCGCTCCACCCGACGGCCGCGGAGGAGTTCGTCACGCTCGCGCCCTGGGGCCAGGGCGCCGGCGACAAGATGGGCGACCGCTCGGCGGCCCCGACGCCCGTGCTCCACTAGGGCGAAGCGGCGGCGCGCGCGCCGAAGTAACGAGGTGGCCCGAGGAGCCGAAGTAGAATTAGCCGGCTGATGGACGGCTAGGTCCCAAATTACGCGGCGGCGTAATTTACGTGGGCCGTCCCACGGCGTTTTTTACGCGTGTTTACGCGTTTTTTACGCGTTTTTTACGCGGAGCTTTTTTTTTATTTAATTATTTATTTTTTCGCCGGGGGTCCGAGATGCAAACGGCGTCGATTTAGACTAGAAAAAAAAATTGAGCAAAAAAAAAAAGTACCGCGTTATTTACGTAAAATTACGCGGGTTCCTGGCCACGTTTATTATGGCGTTTATTACGCGTTTTTTACGCGTGCTTTGGGACCTAGATGGACGGGTCTCACTCGTCGTCGCGGCTCGAGCGCCAGTAGGCGAGGACGTGCCAGAAGACCTCCTTCGGGATCGCGCGCGTGGACTCGTCCGGGACGCCGAAGAGGCGCGCCAGGGCGGGATCGGCCAGCGGCGTCGCCCGGCCGCGACCGCAGAGTAGCCGGAGCCGCGGCTCCTTCAAGTATTTCCGAGTGATCTGTTCAAATAAGTTATTCTAGCCTTGACAACTCGGCCAACGACGACGGCCCGATTATGCGGCCTGCCACACCTTGAGCGAGTTGTCGTGGGACCCGGAGACGACGCGGCCGTCCGGCAGGACCACGAGGCAATTCACCTGCGTGAAGGAGATGAGGGGGGCGCTCGGGGACGGCGAACGACGATCTGAGGCTCCGCCTCGCTCGGAGACGGCGCGGCCGGACGCCGGAGACGCGCGCCGGACGAGTGTCCACTGAGCGTGCGGAAGCGGCGGCCGTCGGTCGCGTCCCAGACAATAAGGGACGCGTCGTCGGACCCAGAGACGACGCGGCCGTCCGGCAGGACCGCGACGCACCTCACCTGCGTGCGTGCGCGAGGCAGATGAGCGAGGCGCTCGGGGACGGCGAACGACGATCCGAGGCTCCGCCTCGCTCGAAGACGGCGCGGCCGGACGCCGGAGATGCGCCCAGTCCGAGTGTCCAATGAGCGTGCGGAGGCGGCGGCTGTCGGTCGGGTCCCAGACGATGAGCGAATGGTCGCCGGACCCAGAGACGACGCGGCCGTCCTGCAGGACCGCGACGCACGTAACCTGCGCGCGGGCGCGAGGCATATAAGTCGGGCGCTCGGGGACGGCGAACGACGATCCGAGGCTCCGCCTGGCTCGGAGACGGCGCGGCCGGACGCCGGAGACGCGCGGTGGACGAGTGTCCGATGAGCGTGCGGAGGCGGCGGCCATCGGTCGGGTCCCAGACGATGAGCGAACTATCCCAGGACCCGGAGACGACGCGGCCGTCCGGCAGGACCGCGACGCATCCCACCTGCGCGCGTGCGCGAGGCAGATGAGCGAAACGCTCGGGGACGGCAAACGACGATCCGAGGCTTCGTCCCGCTCAAAGACGGCGCGACCGGACGCCGGAGACGCGCGGGTTCCGAGTGTCCAGTGAGCGTGCAGAGGCGGCAGCCGTCGGTCGGGTCCCAGACGATGAGCGACATGTCCTCGGACCCGGAGATGACGTCGCCGTCCGGCAGGACCGCGACGCACAGAACCTGAGCGCGCGCGCGAGGCAGATGAGCGAGGCGCTCCGGGACGACAAACGACGATCCGAGGCTCCGCTCGCTCGAGTACGGCGCGGTCGGACGCCGGAGACGCGCGCAGTCCGAGTGTCCGATAAACGTGCGGAGGCGGCGGCCGTCGGCCGGGTCCCAGACGATGAGCGAATCGTCCCAGGACCCGGAGACGACGCGGCCGTCCGGCAGGACCGCGACGCCCCATACCTGCGCGCACGCGCGAGGCAGATGAGAGAAGCGCTCGGGGACGGCGAGCGACGATCCAAGGCTCCGCCTCGCTCGGAGACGGCGCGGCCGGACGCCGGAGACGCGCCGAGCTCGAGTGTCCGATGAGCGGCGGGAAGGAACTGCCGTCGGTCGGGTCCCAGACGATGAGCGACTTGTCGTCGGACCCGGAGACGACGCGGCCGTCCGGCAGGACCGCGACGCAGAACACCTGCGCGAGGGAGATGAGCGGGGCGCTCGGGGACGGCGAACGACGATCCGAGGCTCCGCCTGGCTCGGACGCCGGAGACGCGCCGTGTCCGAGTGTCCAATGAGCGTGTCGACGCACTCGTAATGCCCAGCCACGCGCAGTGCCGCCATGCTCTGCGCTAGCGGTACCGCGTCCAAAGGTTGCGACTCGAGAAGCTCCGGCGCTAAGAACTTGAGCTTCGGGTGGGTCTCGGTGTCCCGCTGGTCGCAGCGGCCGCAGAGATCGTAGTCTGGGCGCACGGTGCACTTGAAGCGAACGCCGCGGATGGGGCTCATGCCACAATCGTCGCACGTGACGCCGACGTGCACGGCCGCGGGCTCAGGCGAACGGGCACCGGTGAGGATCTCGGCCTTCATGTCTGTGTACTCCTCCTCCGTGAGGATGCCTTCGTCGAAGAGGCTCTTGATGTCACGCAGAGCCTGGACGGCGGCGGAATCAAGCATCGCTCCTTGTCGACTTGCCAACCGGTTAGCCGTGCAGGCGGAGCACCAGGTATTGCCTGGACGCGTCTCTAAACGTAGGGGGCCCGGGGAGGAACCGCGGGAGTCGGAGTTTTCAGAGGCTCGGCCTCAGGCTCAGCCAGGTATTGCCACTCACAAGTCGGGAATTCAGCGAATATGAATCCATAGCGCCCTTAGCCTCCACTGCTCCGGACCACCTACGCTGCGACTCTTAGCCGTCAGCCTAGCTGACAGCTATGGCTCGTTCGTCTAGGTGCCCCTCTAGCCCCTCTGGTTAAGATCCCTGCCCCCTTGGAAGGCTCCTGGATAAGTCACCTCCCTCGTCGTCGCGGTTCCCGAGTAGCCGTTCGAAGTAAATTAGCCGCCTGGCGGACGGCTCGGCGGGTCTCACTCGTCGTCGCGGCTCGAGCGCCAGTAGGCGAGGACGTGCCAGAAGACCTCCTTCGGGATCGCGCGCATGGACTCGTCCGGCGCGCCGAAGAGGCGCGCCAGGGCGGGATCGGCCAGCGGCGTCGCCCGGCCGCGGGCGCAGAGTAGCCGGAGCCGCGCGAGCTCGACGCGCGGCTCCTTCAAGTATTTCCGATACGATCTGTTATTCTGGCCTTGCCAGCTCCTCCCGACGACGACGGCCCGGTTACGTGGCCTGCCACACCTTGAGCGACTTGTCTTCGGACCCGGAGACGATGCGCCCGTCCGGCAGGATCGCGACACAATACACCTGCGCGCGCGAGCGAGGCAGATGAGCGGGGCGCTCGGGGACGGCGAACGACGATCCGAGGCTCTCCGCTCACTCTCAGACAGCGCGGCCGGACGCCGGAGACGCGCTTGGTCCTCGTGTCCAATGAGCGTGCGGAGGCGGCGGCCGTCGGTCGGGTCCCAGACGATGAGCGAATGGTCGCCGGACCCGTCGACGACGCGACCGTCCGGCAGGACCGCGACGCACCACACCTGCGCGCGCGAGAAAGATGAGCGGGGCGCTCGGGGACGGCGAACGACGATCCGAGGCTCCGTTTGCACGGAGGCGGCGCGGCCGGACGCCGGAGACGCGCGCAGTGATCGTGTCCAATGAGCGGCGGGAAGGAACTGCCGTCGTTCGGGTCCCAGACGATGAGCGACTTGTCGTAAAACCCCCCCCCGGAGATGACGTCGCCGTCCGGCAGGACCGCG